AAGTTAATGCGGTTACCTTGAGAAATGGAAGAGTATTAGAAGAAGTTCCAAAGAAAAGAAAGTATACAGCTCATCCTGAAGGAGGATTAGTTCCCAAGCTAGTTGAGGAGAATGAGAAAGAGAGCAAAGGATCATAGCAAATAATTGTGGCAAGGCCACCACCTCCATTTCCACAAAGACTGGAGAAGAAAAAAGATGACGCTAAGTACAATAAATTCTTAGATATTTTGAGCTAAGTGCGTGTGAATTTGCCTCTGGTGGAAATTTTGCAAGAAGTGACTAAGTATGCAAGGTATCTTAGAGATATTGTGGCAAACAGGTGAAGACATACAGAGTTTGAAATATTTGCACTTACTGAAGAGTGTAGTGCTAGAGTTCATAGTAAACTTCCTCCTAAGTTGAAGGATCCTGGGAGTTTCATAATTCCTCTGTCTCTTGGAAAACAAGAAATTGGTAAAGCCTTTGTGATTTAGGGGCTAGTATAAATTTGATGCCATCCTCTCTGTTCAAGCAACTCGGATTGGGGGTGTTAGACCTACTACAATCACATTACAGTTAGCAGATAGGTCACTAGTTATGTAAGAAGGAATTATTGAGGATGTGTTAGTTCGAGTGGGAAAGTTTATTCTTCCTGTTGATTTTATTATTCTTGATTACGAGTCAGATGAGGAAGTGTCCATTTTTTTTGGGGCGACCATTCTTAGCTATTGTGGAGCGATTATTGATGTGAGGGAAGGGAAGTTGAAGATGAGCGTTGACGATGTGGAAATTACTTTTAATGTGTACAAGGCACTTAAACTCCCTAAGCATTATAAGGACTTGTGCATGATTACTGTAGTAGAATTGAAGGGGATATAGTAGAGTCCTTATGTGAATTGTAGTAATCAGATGGGACAACTGAGTTAGAAGAGGTGGTGTTGCAAGGCGAGTGTGTAAAGATGATTGAGAAAAGATCCATAGATGAAAGAGGAGACATTCCGAGAGTGTGCAAAAAGGCTAGACTTCATGGGAGAAAGAAGAAGAGAAAGCGCCCAGCTTGAGCAGAGTAGCAAAGTCGTGCCACGACTATAAATAAGGCGCTTGTTGGGAGGCAACCCAGCCTGTATTTTTTATTTTTGTAGTGTCAAGTTTTGTGTTGTTTTTATTTTATAGAGTGGGGAAAGTTTGAGTACCCGAAGTTGAAGTTGAGGAGCGTGTTTGAGCTTAAGTGTGGGGGTCGTCCCGACCCTTAATATTGAGGATCATGTCCGAGTTAGGCCTGAGAGGGTCTCAGGGAGTATTTCTCACCCTTGTTTAATATTTTTCTTCGTGATCATGCAACGATGACTATGCATAATATAAGTGTGGGGTGGAAAAACTACGTTCTGAAGTGTAATTTTATAAAACTATTTTTTATTAGTTTTTCTTTTAGAACTCGTAGTAGACACCGTCTAGGTTGCAAAAAAATAAAAATAAATAAAAATTGAGAAAAAAAATCGAAAAAGTTTGAACTTTTCCCGACGATGGATCATTTGGACATTTTTCTTGAGGGATTAAAGTCTGATTAAAAAAGAGTTTTTTTTAGGTTAGTTAGGTAGTATTCCTTGGTTTTTCTTTGGGCGCTGGTTCTTTTTCAAGGGTGTAGCTCAAACCGTGTACTTTATTTTTTTTAGGAGTAGGTTAGGAAGAAACTGAGTTGCTCTGAGATACCTATTGACGTGTTTGGTGCTGGCATAGTAGGTTATGGCATGCACTCTATCTTTCCGTGCATTGGATTTGAGTGGTGATGCCCGAGTAAAATAAATATCCTATTCTGTGATGCCTTTTCTCAATTGTTCGACTTGTATGCCACATAATGCAATATTGGTTAAAATTTCTCAATTATATGTGCTTGTTTAACTTGAGAGTTGAACATAACTGTCTTGATTGAGTCATATGCAATGTGTGTGTGAGAAATTGTGATTCTTTGTGCTATCCCGTCTAGTCTAGAACTTGCCCCGTATGTTAATCGAAGCGAAATCATTAAGTTGTGCTAGTCTAGGAGATGACATAGGCGTTTCTTCCTTGATCATAGATGTGCTTGTCACTTAAAAATAAAAGTTTTTGTTGCTAGCCCCTTTGAGCCTATAGACCTTTTCCTTGGCACCCACATTACAAGTCGCACCCCTATTTTGTTCTTAATTTTAGATTGTTGAACCTTACCTCCTAAGGCACTAGTGGCTAAAGAAGTAAGGTGAGTAGCTTTCGAGTGGAACAATGAAAGGGCCCTTTGGTGCACAAAAGTGTGAAAAAAAGGTCACTAGCTGATGAACTTTAATGTATGGAGTGTGTGTAGAAAAAAAATTGCAACAAAGAAGAAAATGATAGTCAAATAATGTAGAAAAATATACACCTCCTAATCTTATTAATTTGTGCTAGTGGGAGTATAGAAGTGCTTAATTGGAAAAAGGCTATGTTGTATATGGTCTGTGGCGAGTGAATTCGTCGAGAAGAATAGGTGCTCGATTTGTGAGTATAGTGTATTAAAGTGCTTGAGAGGGTTAGTCACTATTCCTAAATGTATCCTACCCGTCCCTTAGCCTACATTACAGCCTTAAAGTCCTAATTTATCCTAGATTTGGCTAGCTTAGATTAGTAGAAATGTACAATACGGGCAAGCTTATAGTATGACCACAAGATGCACATGAATTCTTTGTGAGAGTGAGTAAATTTTGTTCAATTGTGTGATATCCTTAAATTATATTCAAAGTCATACTTGAATGTGTGGACTACTTTATATTCACTCTTTTATTTGTTGGTGAGGGCACATGATCTCATGAAGGATTGGTAATGTTGTAAACTTCTCTTGTTGGGTGAGTGTGCGAGTTGAGGGTGCTTAGTGGCAACGAGTCAGCTCTTGAGATAGGGTGGTTATGGATAGGTTGTTTGGATTGATTGAATTGAAATGATATACACGAGTATGTTTAAAATGGGAAGAATGTGAAATTTGTCTGTCATGCTTGATTGTCGGTATTGATCATAGTCAAGCGTAGAGCGTATGGTTAAAATTTGAAGTGCTACTCTCTATTTGAGATGTGTATGTTGTTGGGGGTGTAGTTGATAGTCCCATTGCTTGAGGACGAGTGAGATTCTAAGTACGGGGTGTTGATATTTAGCTTAAAGTATATATATATTTATATGTATAATCGCCTCATGTTTTACACGTGTTTCGTGGATTTCGGATGTAAAATGTATTGAATTATGCTAGTTCGTGGTGTTTTTATGTGTATGAATCATCCGGAGGCAATAGGGGATGAAAGGTGCGAGATTAGAGCCAAAACGGAGAAAAAATGGAAAATGTTAAATTCCAGCGCCACAAGCAGCGCCCACGCCACCTGTGTTGCCGTTTACAGAAATTCCAATTTGCCAGCACCAGGGCCAGTGCCCCACGCTACCCTTGGCGTTGGTGACGGCAATTTCTCCAACTTTGCCCGGGATAAGGTTATTTCGGCCCTAGACCTACCCAACGCGTATAAAAGCAAGACTAAGCCTATATTTTTTTTAGGGGGGGAGGGGATGCCACTTTGAAGGAAAAATACACACGAGAAACATCAGGGAGCGAGGATATCTTAGTTTTCTTCATATTTTCTTAGTATTTTCAATTATCCAACACTTATGAAATTGTTAGATATTATCATGAGTGGCTAAAACCCATTGTTCCGGAGTTGTGATTTATCCATGAATATTGTTGTTTAACGTTGACTTAACCTTAATTATAATTCACCAATATATGATTGTTTCTTCAATTCTGTGATTAATTGCTTAATTGTCTGGCCAGCAGTTAGGTTCTATTTACTATATATGCTATGTTTGGGAAAACCATATTTAGATTAGATAAGAATTGAAGAGAGCATGATCTTAACTCTGGAGGGGGGAGGGGGGGAGGGGGGGAGGGGATTTGTGGTTAGGATAGAAATATACCTAGTCATTGTGCTTAATTAAATATCGTAATCTTAATACGTTCTTAATAGATTAATTTCATAGGAATATAGGCGTTAATCTATTTTGAATAGGCGAGTAGTACTTCGGGAGAAGGCTACGAGAGCAATTGTTCGATTAATTAGCAACCATGAGCGAATTGTATGAAAGGGAGAGTTAACTAGAACACAATAGGATTGGTGAATCGATCACAACCCTGGAATATTTGTCTCTACTGAATACACAATAATTATTTTGTTGCTTGATAATTTAGTTACTAGTTAGAATTATTGTTTAGTATAATCATACTTTTGAACTCGGATTGACTCGATAACAATCATGGTGAAATTAGTGGGTAGTTAATACAAGTCTCTGTGGGTTCGACACTCGACTTATATTTTTATTACTTGTCGATCACGTATACTTACGTGTACGCTTGGGAGCAACAAGGAACACCTATGAAGAAGATTTGGCATAAGCTAAAAAAGATGAAACAAGCACGAAGTTGTTGAATGAAACAGAATTTCCAAAGGTGAATATGCAAATAAAAACATAAGGCAGCAATTGGGCGAGGTGCAGGAACAAATGAGAGATTATACCCATGACACCGAGTTATATGCTAAAGAAAAAGATTTGAAGCAGTCACTTGAAAAATGGGTGTTAATTGAAGATAGTATACTCAGATAGAAATCCAAAATACAATGGTTAAAGCTATGAGATACTAACTTTGCTTATTTCTATGCTAATATTAAGAGTAGAATTGCGCAGAATCACATTAGCAGACTCATTTCTGAAAGTGGTGAAGTACTCAAAACAACAGAGGTAATTGAGAGAGAAATCAATGGGTTCATTCGAAGTTGTTAGGGACAAATGCTGAGAAGCTACCTGCAATACACCCACAAGTTATGGCAGGAGGCCCTATCCTTAACCGACCTCAACAGATTCATCTTACTACATCATTTATAGTGGAGGAAATTCAACAAGCTCTAAAAGATATAGATGATCTGAAGGCCCTTGGTTGTGATGGGTTCAATGCTGTCTTTTAAAAAAAATCTTGGTCAATCATGGGGAAGGAGGTTTTAGAGGCAATCTTCCAGTTCTTTAATAAAAAAAAGGAGTTCTACAAAGCTATTAACACTCATCCCCAAGGTACAAAATCCATCCTCTATTAAATAATTTAGACCAATATCGTGTTGCACAATGATCTACAAGCTAATATCTAAAGTGCTTACAAAAAGAATGCAAAGTGTAATGGACTTTTTAGTAGACACCAGTCAAGCAACTTTTGTACCTGGGAGGGTAATTACTGACAATATAATACTGAGCCATGAGTTGGTAAGTGGTTATGGAAGAAAAGGGATATCACCAAGGTGTATGCTAAAGGTAGACATGCTAAAAGTATATGACTCAGTGGAGTAGATATTCCTATAATAAGTGCTAATATCTCTGAATTTTCCAGCTATGTTTGTTGATTGGATCATGATTTGTGTGAAGGCAATTTCATATTCAATCACTATTAATGGGAAGTCAACCAAACCCTTTGAAGCCAGGAAAGGATTAAGGCACGAGGACCCTTTGTCCCCATATTTGTTTGTATTGGTAATGGGATATCTCAACATGCAGCTAAAGACATTAGCACAACAACTTAATTTTAAATTTCATCCGAAATGTGCTAAGTTAAAACTGATTCAGCTGGGATTTGCAGATGACTTTCTTTTGTTCTGTAGGGGAGATATAATTTATGTGAAAATGCTCTTTGACTGTCTTCAAAGCTTTTCAATAGCTTCTGGACTAATAGCAAATTTAAGCAAAAGCTCAGTATTTTTTCAGGTAGAACAACAGGAAATATTGGCTATTTTGGGATTCTCCAAAGGGAAACTTCCCATAAGATATTTGGGTGTCCCCTTGAGTTCAAAAAGGGTTTCAGTGATGCAATATCAACCCCTGTTGGATAAAATGTTAGGAAGGGTCAAATTATGGACTAATAGATTCCGCTCCTATACACACATAGCCTAATTGACTAAGTCTATCCTATTTTCCATTCAAGTATACTGGTCTCAGATTTTTGTGTTGCCTAAGAAGGTGATAAAACTTATTGAAGCTAACTGTAGAAGAATCTTGTGGACTGGAGGTGTCGAACTATCCAAAAAAACTTTATTGGCATGGGATAAAATCTGTATGCCTAGATCTGCTGATGGCCTAAATATACTTGACCTCTCTGTGTGGAATAAAGCTGCAATATGCAAATTATTGTGGAATCTTTGTCAGAAGAAAGACAAGCTATGGGTAAAATGGATTCCTGTGCACTACGGGACAAGTAGGAATTTGATTGAAGATGTTCCCAACAAGCTTAATGGGTGGTACAGAAGATATTAAAAGCCAAGAGATACTATATTAAGGCAAGTTATGGGGTGCAAGATATATACAACATGGAGTGAGCCTCTATAAAGGAACTTTACAACATGTTAAGAGGGGAATTTCCAAAGGTAACATGGAGAAAATTGGTGTGCAATAACCAAGTCCTACCCAAATGGATCTTCATCTTAAGGATGGAAGCACGCAGAAGATTACTCACAAGAGATAGATTAATGATATGGGGAGTGGTAGCAGAAAAAACCTACCTTCTATGCAACCGGGAGGATGAAAGTATAGAGCATGTATTCTTTAAATGCGAGATTTCTGCGCAAATATAAAAATACAATGGCAGGGTATTAGCAGAGACCCTATGTGCTGGGACGAGGAACTAATGTGGGTTGTTCAAAATGCAAGTGGAAAGAGCCCTGAAGCTGCAGTATATAGAATATTGTTATCTGCAGCAGTTTACTATATGTGAAATAAAATAAATCAAAGAGTATTCAACGACAAACAACAAGGAAAGGAAGTCATCATCAAAAAGATAGTTCAAGAGGTGCACCACAGAGGAGCAATGAAGCAGAGGATTGCAAAATGGCTGGAGTCGCTAATTTTTTTATCCATTATAGCTAGGATTGTCATTATGAGATTAGTTGAGGTGATTGCAGTGTAGAGTGGTAGCTAGAGTTGGGGCTTGCTATACTATCAGTTTTTTTTTTGTTGTCTGTACATAACTCTATTTGATAAATAAAAAATATTTTACTTGCCAAAAAAAAAATGCAACTTCAGATCTTTGTTTTTTGTAACCCGTCATTCATTTTTTCTATCTCAAGTAAGAACCTGTATGTTAGGCATCATAGATAGAGAGCCACAACAGCAAAGACAATAAATACATGCACTTTCAAGACACAAAGAAAAATTCAATTATATAAATTCAAGACTAGTGTCGCGAACATAAATATTGTTATCTTGCAACATCACCTAAAGCTCTGATTTCTTCAGGGTATGATTCCCCTGTTCAATCGCGAGAGCAAAACAAATAAAGAATACCAACCTATGAAGAGGATGCTAGATGTAATGACAATATAGTCGTTGTGTTGCCTTAGGTAGAAAAAAAAGATTTGTTCTAGCATGGAAGACATCGTACAAAGAAATATGAAAATATTTAAATAAATGGATATAAAGTTAGGTATATTATTTCATTTGATAATATATATTACATTTAAAAAGAAAGAAGGAATAACTGACAAAAGAAACAAAATAAGTACCTCGGTGAGAAATATTTCTATACATAAAAATAATAAGAGTTATTCGTTAAGCCGAAAAAATTATAGCTCTAGAATATCAATCTAGCTACTTCAGCTTGAGTTTCACCAACAAGGAATAAAGCGGGAAATAAGGCATGATACGTATATCCAATAGTTTAAAGAAACATATGTCCGGAGAAAATAACATGATCTAAACCTAGGATTTGTCGAAAAATTGTGCCACAATTAATAGCCATTATTGGTGAATATAGCAACTTGTTTCACAGTTTCCTGTCTTATTTTTTAATGAGGTGAGCTAATTATTGAAGTTTTTTCTTGTCCCCGTGAGGGCTACTATTGCCTTTTTTTATTCGCCCTTAATGATGAATTGTGGTGTATTATTAAGTGGAACATATACTAGAAGTATTAGAGAGGCAAAAAGGTTACCCCGAAAAAAATCTCCAATGCCATCTATTTTAGAAATATTTATATGCTAATAATTTTATACTTTTCGCTACAATGCTTCCACATATGAGCATATAGAAGAAAGCAAACGACATTGTATACGGGCGAAACTGAGTCCGTTGAACGTCCCGATCTCCTGGTGAGACAAACGAAGCAGGGATGTGATCATAAGGAATCAGAATCAGGGCGATGAGCCTCTCGTATCGGGGCTCGAGCAAAATACTTGCCCTCGGAGATATTGGGACCACGTCCTCCGAGTCCGGGTCGAGTCCCAAGACTTCGGAGAGCATTACCAAACAACCACCCACAACTAACAAAGGGTCGTGATATCCGTGCCCAACCGGATGTCACGACGTAAATTTCGCCCCGTATCAGCGATGGACTAGTGATTTCGAAAAATAGATTTTTACCTTTTTTAGAATTGCACTTAGGGTGAAACTCCCGTGTTATATAAAGGAAAAACTAACTATTCATTACACACATTGTAACACGTTTATCAAGCAATATACTTCTGTTCTTTCTGATTATTCACAGTTCTTACTCTTGTTCATAAAGTTCTTCATAAGTGCAAGCTCGGAACAGAAGGCAGGTCCCTATTAAGCCCTTGAACGAGCTCGGACTCACTCTTATGATTGGTTTGGTCATTTATTTCGTTTTTTATTTGCTTAATCTAATGACATTGATTACTTGTATTGAATTAACCCACGTATACTTAAAATCACGTATAAATTCAATTGTTATCTGTTTCTAGGGTAAACAGTTTGGCACCCACCGTGGGGCTAGGGATAGTAGTGGTAATTTGATATAAATTTCCATAATACAATCTGCTTTTACGCTTGTTCTTTGAGATTTTAATTTCAGGTCAATTTAAGAATGTCAAACTCTCAGTCTGCCCACTTGAACGTTGATGCTGAGTCTGGCCACCATGGCTAGAACAAAAATATAGTACCCAGCAACGAGGTTCCCCCTGTTGACCCCAACGGAGTAGGGGTGGGCATATATCAGGTAAAACGGATAACCCGAACCGTTAATTATTTATTAGGTTATCGGTATTGGATTATTGGGTTAACGGTTCGGTAATGGGTTAATTTTTTTATTGGGTTATCGGTTCGGGCTCGGTTTACAATTCTGTTATTGGGTAAAAACCGATAACCCAATAAGAATTAACTAATTTACTAGTTTACCCTTAAGTATATACATACTATACTAGGGTTTCATAATTGGTTTTTCCTATTCTTTCTCAATTCTCAGTAAGTCAGTTTCTCTTTATCAGTTTCTCAATTTTTCCGCCGCACCCCTACGGCCCAACCTCACCAGTTCTCCGCCTCACCACGACTCACGCCCTCACCAGTCACCAGTCATCCCGTCAAGACTCAGGCTGGCGTCACTCGTCAGTCGCATCACGCCCTCACCAGTCAGCCCGTCAAGACTTAGGCCGGCGTGTAAGTTTTTAGTTGCTTCATCTTCATCTTTTTCTTAGTTTGTTTGAAAGCAATCTGGCTCTGGATTTTTTTTGGGAGGAGTTGTGCTGTGTGTGTGCGCGCTGCTATTGTTTGAGATCTTGTTCTAATCGTTTGTCTAGTCTTTAAACATTTTTAGAGATTCTGTTTTATGAGAAATGAAATGGGCTTTGACAAGAAATGTATAAATTTGGTGTTGTTTCTTTATCCACTTATAATTTTAACAAGTGTTTCTCTTTTTGGAATATTAAGAATCCTAAGCAGTAAACTTCTGTTTAACTGTTCTTAAGGATACAAGACCACGTTTTATTAACAATACAATCATATACCATTCCACCTTTGTAATCCTATATTTATGCATCAGAAAGTTGTCAAAGACAACGGAAATCTGATCTATTTCTTGACTTTTGGCTCAAGATAACTGAGAACTCGATAGTTTTATATATTGCGAAATTGTTTTAGTTATTTTATCTTATCGGGTAAACCGATAACCGAACCGATAATGATCGATAACCGATTGAACGATAACCGATAACCAATATCTTATCGGTTTGGTTATCAGGTTATGATATTTGTAAACCGATAACCGATAGGCAAAACTGATAATATTCAAAACCGAACCGAACCGACCGATGCCCACCCCTATAACGGAGTCCCGGTCGCGAACCCAATCGATGCCAACTCACATGTGGCCATTGATGCGAACTTGCCTACTGACCCAAAGAACAACGTTTGCGGAGGAGCCTGATAGGTAGCCCAGGGCACGCACAACGGTGAAGGTGATGGAATCAATTTGCGGGTGATCTTCAAAATGTTACAAGCTCGTCAAGTGGAGATAGCCCAATTACAGAACCAAAGTCGCGCCCACAGCAGACTTGAGCCCGAACCATCCCAGGAAAATACCCAAAGAAGTGAATAAACCATAGAAAGGTCGGGTGAAGTTGAACCCAGGACCAACCCCAAAATAATTAAGTTGCTTGAAGAACTGACAAAGCGGGTAGAATCGGGGGAAAAGAAGATCCAAGCTAACGACAAAAAGGTGGAGACATATAACTCCAGGGTTGCTCAAATCCCATGAGCACCCCCGATATTGAAAGGACTAGATCCCAAGAAATTTGTCCAAAAGTCTTTCCCTCCGAGCGCGACACCGAAGCCAATCCCGAAGAAGTTCCGTATGCTAAAAATTCTGAAGTATACTGGAACAACGGATCCAAACGAGCACGTGGCCTCATATACGTATGCCATCAAGGGGAACGACTTAGAAGACGACGAAATCGAGTTTGTTCTATTGATTCATTTGCTATACTTGCATATGCCTTTGTAAAGGCGCACGCCGGGGCCATCAAGGTCGAGACCAGGAAGTCAGACCTTTTTAAAGTAAAGTAAAGAGATAACGAGATGCTCGGGGAATTTGTGTCGAGGTTTCAAATGGAACGAATGGATATGCCTCCGGTCGCGGACGATTGGGCCGTTTAGGCATTCACCCAAGGACTCAACCCCCAAAGATCCTTGGCTTCATAGTAGTTGAAACAGAATTTGATAGGATACTCGGCGGTAACTTAGGCCGATGTCCATAACAGGTACCAATCAAAAATTAGAGTCGAAGACGATCAGCTCGGCCCCCCTCCGTATCCGTGTATCCCATAAGAACTAGTGACATGTCTAAAAGAGTCGTTGATCATGAACCAAGACCGAACAAAGATCGGTATCAGCCGTATAGCGGAGATCGAAGGGGTAGCGGATCCAGATGTAACCCTGCGAGGAATGAAAAAAGAAGCGATCGAGGCCACAATAGTCGGGGACTCATGACTAAAAACGGTTTCGACAGGCCACTCGGGGTTAGGGAGGTACCAATATTATCGGAATACAACTTCAATGTCGATGCCATATCGTATCTGCCATCTGACGCATCAAAGATACCAAGTGGCCTCAGCTATTGCATTCCAATCCTGCCCAAAGGGACCCCAACCTGATGTGTAAGTATCATGGCACTCACGGCCATATGATCGAAGACTGCGGACAACTAAGAGAAGAAGTGGCCCGGTTATTCAATAACGGGCATCTCCAAGAATTTTTAAGTGATCGAGTCAAAAATTGCTTCAGGGACAGGGACTCCAACAAATAAATCGAGCAAGAGGAACCTCAGCACGTCATCAACATGATCATTGGTGGAGTCGACGTTCCCCAGGGGCCAATGCTAAAACGCACTAAGGTGTCCATTACAAGGGAAACGAACCCGATATTACATGCTGGAGGGGACCATCTCTTTCAATGATGAGGACGCTGAAGGCATCGTGCAATTGCATAATGATGCACTGGTAATATCTATACCCATTAATAAATCCCGAGTTAAACATGTGTTAATTGATCCAGGTAGCTCGGCCAATATCATTAGATCGAGGGTCGTAGAGCAATTGGGTCTACAAGACCAAATAGTACCTGCAGTCCTGGTTTTAAGCGGATTCAACATGACATGCAAGACCACTAAAAGGAAATAACCTGATGGCGAACATCCTCGAGACCATTCAGGAAACAAAGTTCTATGTGATTGAAGGGAATATAAGATACAATGCTCTATTCGGAAGGCCATGGATTCACAATATGAGGGCAATACCCTCGACACTACACCAGGCACTGAAGTTCCCCACACCGGGGGGAGGGGGGGGGGACCAAGACAGTTTACGGGGAGCAGCCGACCAAAGAAATGTTTGCGGTCGATGAGGTGATCCCGATTTTGGCTCTTTCGACGATAAAGAACCCGAAGCCGGTTACAAAGGAAGGAACCAAATAGCAATCACCGACACCGGTCCTGACCGAATCGGAGAACCAAGCCCGTTGAACGTCTCGATCTCCAGGCGAGGCAAACAGAGCAGGGACGTGACCATAAGGAATCGGAATCAGGGCGAGGAGCCTCTCGTATTAGGGCTCGAGCAACATATCAGCCCTCGGAGACATCGGGACCACGTCCTCCGGGTCCGGGTCGTGTCCCAAGACTTTGGAGAGCATTACCAAACAACCGCCCACGACTAATAAAGGGCCGTGATATTCGTACCCAACCAGATGTCACGGCGTACATTTCGGCCCGTATCAGCGATGGATTAGTAATTAGTAAAAAGAAAGATTTTTACGTTTTTTAGAATTGTACTTGGGTAAAACTCCTCTACTATATACAGGGGAAACTAACTATTCATTACACACACTGTAACACGCTTATCAAGACAATATACTTATGTTCTTCCTGATTATTCACATTTCTTGCTATTGTTCATAAAGTTCTTCATAATGCAAGCCCGGAACCGAAGGCAGATCCCCTATTAAGCCCTTGACCGAGCTCAGAATCCCTCTTATCATTGATTTGGTAATTTATTACGTCTTTTATTTCCTTAATCTAACGTCATTGATTACTTTATTGAATTAACCCACATATCCTTAAAACCGCGTATAAATTTAATTGTTTCCGTTTTTTAGGTTAAATAGACATACGATCTCGTTCTCCTATATTCATCTCATGGCATTTGATAGAAATTACCCTACAACATTATGAACGGTGTTGGTACATGAATAAAAAGAAAAACAAATATAAGCATCCAAAGAGAGAATGAGCAACCTAATACAAGAACTCACACAATATCCAACAATTTTCAAGCCGATGAATTCTAAAATATTATCCGAAAACGTCTCCATTGCACTCATAAATGAATAATATTTTTAAAGTCAACTTTGCATTCGGAATTTTTTGAGTGAATTAAAATATGCACGTGACCTTGATCCTATTAATTATTTCATTCCAATTCACTCAAAAAAATTGGATTTTAAAAGTTATTCCATTCCAATTTAATATGGAGGCCTTAGAGGCAATGGATAAGAGAACAATTAATAAGCACAAGTTAATTTAAAAATCCAATTGTTTATATTTGAAAGTGAAGCTATTAAAATTCTGATGCAACTTAATCAGATAATCTCTAACTCACTAATTTTCTCAAATAGTGACATCTTTAGAAAATAGCAAGACCTGATTAATAAGAAATATTTTAAATACGTTTATAAATAAATAAGTTTTGTCCAATGTTAATTTTTCATTTAACAATTAAAGATAAAACAAAAGATGCGTGTGCCCCGCATTCTGTAAAATATTCAAGTACAATTCACTCGGAAAAACTAATATTTAACGTATAAAATAATTACCAAGCACAAGTCAATTTCAAATCTAAAATGCCATTTGTATTAATTTAAACCGGAACAATCAAACTTCTGACATATCTTAATAAGATTTAAACATATCTCATTTACATAATCAATATAATTAATGTTCCTGCAATATAATACTTATTTAGTGTACGCTTAATAATTCCCGCATAATATATTTTCAAAATGACAACAAAGCTTTGATTGCCGATGATGGAGAAGTTACAATTGGGCAAAGCCGCGCCAGGCCGCGTCGGTGCAAGTGAGTTTAGATTTTTTATTCTTAATAAAGAATACGTTAAATAAAAGAACATATTTATAAGGTAAATTAGTCAAATTATAAATATTTTTATATTAATAAATAAACTAAAATAATTATTACAAAAAATCAAAATAAGAAAATTAAAGATAATATCATAAACCAGAAGTGATATTATTATGAAGAGAAATATGAAGAAGGTCTCTCAAATTATCCGAAAGAAAAAAAAAATTATTTGGAAAAAATTATTCGGGTCGCTAGGGAAAAAAATTATTCGGGTCGGGTTCGACCATGTTGAAACGGGTGCAATCTCCACTCATAAATAGGAAAGCGAGGGAACTCTAAAATCCGCGAGGCGGCAAAATTACCTAATTTATTGAAACACAGAACTCTGCATCTCCTTCTCTCTCTCTCTCTCTCTCTCTCTCTCTCTCTCACACACACACACACACACACACACCCCTCCACATATTACTCATAGAAGATCCATAAGTAACCGTTGCGCCATTGCTCACGAAATCTCTCTCTCATTCCCTGCAGCTTCTCTGAATCGCACTTTCAGCTTCTGGTTGTTCAGAAGTTTTCCGGAGTGTTGTTGTTGGTAATTGGTGTTGTTATTTTGAATCTACAGCATTGATTTTATCAGTATTTGAGATATCTGTTAATTACTTGAAAAAAATGAAAATTACTAGATGCATTTTGAAGTGATTGATGTGTGAGTTATAGTCAAATAGAAGTTGTAATTAACGTAGTCATATAAACATCAATGCCGAGTTGTAGTGGAATCCGCAATCAGTAGCCGATTTGTACGTGCACTAAACATGTTTGTAGGTATGTCCACTCATAAACAGGAAAGGGAGGGAACTCCAAAACAGGAGAGGCAGCAAAATTACCAATTTTATTGAAACACACAGCCTTCGCCTTTCTCCCTCCCACAGTTTCACTCACACACACGCGCGCGCACACATAGTACTATAGAAAGCACGTTGCAATCACGAAATCTCGCTTTCATTCCCTGCAGCTTCTCTGAATCGCACTTTCAGCTTCTGGTTGTTCAGAAGTTTTCCGGAGTGTTGTTGTTGGTAATTGATGTTTCTATTTTGAATCTACAGCATTGATTTTATCAGTATTTGAGATATCTGTTAATTACTTGAAAACATGAAAATTACTAGATGCATTTTGAAGTGATTGATGTGTGAATTATTGTCAAATTGAAGTTGTAATTAACATAGTCATATAAACATCAATGCCGAGTTGTAGTGGAATCCGCAATCAGTAGCCGATTTTTACGTGCACTAAACATGTTTGTTGGTATGTCCCTTATGATTTTATTAGAACAAATTCATGATTGCTTTATACCTTGATATTCCTAAACTACCAGGTTTGTAAACTTGCGAATTAAACTGTTAAGTAATTGTATGCCAAAAGCTACACATGTTATTGGCAGATCCATTAGATGTCGAACTCAACGCATTTGGCTCGAATATGAAATTAAATGGAGTGTATATTTCAGAGTCCACTCTCTTGACTCAAATTTCATTATTCTAAATTTTGAATTTGCTGCTGCACATGTTCATGCTTATCTCATAGCTAATGCTTATGTGCAGGTTGAAAGTTTCTCTGCATTCTCTTCTAATGACATCTTGGAAATTTCCAAATTGCATAAATCTTATTGTATACGATTTTCCCAGCTTCAAAAAAGGTATGAGATGCGTCTCCGTTCAATTGTGATTTTCGAAACTGTATGGGTGGCTAGTAGTGTAGTACAGTAGTTGCAAACAACAACTGTATTTCTGTGCTGTTTTAGACAACTTATGAAATATGAATAGGGTATTAATTTAAGCTAATCTTTACCAGGGTGCTGGTATATATATATATATATATATATATATATATATGTATGCTCTTTGCAAGTCCTGGTTTATATATTTACCCTTTAGTCTTAATTATGTTTAGTCGAAGACAGTGTACATTATAACGTTGTTCCCTTGTTCAAGCTTTTACTACTTGATAAGATTTTGGTGCAGCTCCCGTCTATGAAAAAAGGGGTTTTGCTTAGCTTGTGGGAAGCTTTCCCTTTTACGAATTACCATCAGAATTAGTTTGCAAATTCGACTCATGCTGGTGTTGCGGTGCCAAACCAGTTATTTTGCAATTTAGGAGCTAACTGTATTGATTGACATGGAAGAGAATCAATTTTTATTACTCTTTTCTATCCTCTGAGGAGAAAATGAGACGTATAAAATCAACTGACTTTGAATTTCAGTTGGCTAAAGATACACTAGCCTGTTGAAGAATTCGATGATCGTCACTAATAGAAATGACCACCCTAAGTATCAGCTACAAGTAATCAATTATCATCTCATTTACTCATGCTACAATTTACTTACAAGTTAGACAATACCTATCTTTTCCTTCCTAAGGTTTAAAACATCATGGTAATGATTACTGAATGTTGCCTGCTTGTTCAGCCTCAGGTGGCTGCCTTGCTGATTCAGTAGGACACTGCTCCCTAGTTTTCATCTGGCTTTCCTTTAGTCTTACTCAATCTGCTGGCTGGAAAATGCAACCGTGCCATCAGTGGTCTTGGTGCCCGTGTCTTCTTGTCAAAACCCCTCACACAAACAAACCCTGCGAAATAAAGTACTTGATCAGAAAGCAAATAAAATGTGTTGCAGCAAGGAATAACACTTCTTCCTCTTAGTGACCTGAATGATTACTATTCCTCAAAAGTTTGTTTTTATGATTTGTCCTGAAGGAAAGCATGAAACTTGCCAACATGCTTTTTGATGCTGAGCAAGTTGTAATACATTCTTTTGGATGCCAAAGGTAACTAATTGTGCCGTTTCTTATATGGGAGTCATCATTCCGAAGAAGGATTGAATGATGATTATGGACTTAATAAAAAAGAAAAAGTTGATTGATGGAAACCTAACTGGTACACATTATGTGTAGTTTTTGAGAGCATGGTTCAAAGTTCACTTTTCAGACTTTCATATGCACATCTATGTCTGTGTTTACTCTTATTACTGTATGTCACTCTTTTTTTCAAGTGTATACATGTGTTCTGGCCCTGCTCCATAGTCAAAAATAGAGGAGACAGGGCTGATTGGCTGAAGGGAATACAGATTTTTCTATTCGAAAGATGGACTAGAACCAAGATATCATGTTCATAGATTATCTTAAAAAAGATAAGCTGTCTGTATTAATCGGTCATAAACAGATTGGATGAAGAAGCAAATATTATCAACATAATAAGACTCTGGTTTCAACTTTCTCTCGAACCATCATGTCAGATATCCTCGATGACTCACTCCATACCAAATGGTAAACCTTGGGAGGCTCTTCAGTTATTTCTATATACGCTGTATAAACTTGTTCTCCCAGATTATTTTTTTCCTAGTTTCAAGCTTTGTTCTGATGCTGAATGCTTATGCCCATTTAACTTGATATTTTGAACTTGAATGTGGTATTAACATGCACACTTTTGCGTTGATGTATTTAGTAGAAATGGATAAGAAGTTAAGTCAAGCATTTGGACCTCTGTGGATTTAAGGTTTTCGACTACATACCTCTCCAAAAGCAATGTTGGATACTTTCTGTGGTTTGGCCTGATTAACAAAGAACATATTAATGTTATTTTACTCCCAAAGCATTTTAAAAAATAAATGATCACCCTTTAGTTGTTCTTTTACCTTTAAATATTGTTGGTATAGAGGTTCCAAAGTAAACTGTTCGTCGTGGCAGATTCCACAGCCAATCTCGTGGGACGTCAATTGGGTTGAGGCTGGAGTCATGGTCCGCAAACACCTGAGAAATAAGAAAAATGCCACTGTGAAAACCTTATTAAATGGTAAAATGCTTATCTTTGACATGTTTGAGTGATGAGCTTAAAGTCGGCTGTATTCACCTCATTAACTTGAAAGTATGTACCATTGAGCGGAAAGCTTCCTCTCATTGCCGTTCGACATGGTATCTATTAGAAAAGTATATATAGAGATGATTAAAATTCTCAGACCGCTTTCCCATGACAAGCATTATAGTTAGTTTGCTCTTTCTTTACCAGAATAGTCCCTCTCACTGTTTGAGAATGTGCTTCACGTAGGCTGTTGCATGCAAAACATGTTTCATCATCACATAGCCTACCAGCTTCTTGGGAGTTGCACTTTATTGCAGGTGGATGAATAGAATCCGCTGTTTCTCCTGAGATGGAATCAGTACATGACGGAGAATAAGTTATTTATGAAAGCCTGAGGAAAAGTTAACCTATTTCGCCATATTACCCTCTACCACTGTAATACAAGCTACTAATGAGATTGGAACCTGGGACTTGCATAGTTAGCTATGTGCAATTGTTCCTTACAAACATGAGTTATCTAATTCATCAGTTTTAGGGTTAAAATAGTCGGAAGCGGATGCTTTGCCTTTAGTTTTTTTAAAACATCTTCTCCTATGAATTACATTACATTAATCTTACCAGGTGTCCATATTGCCAGAAGATAGGAGCATGGATCATCTGGTTCTCTTTTGTCGAACTGCAACATGAAAAGATGCAATTATCGGGAGGATTAATTTCAATATCAGCTTACGTGCTGCTTATATATGAATATTAAACTGATGTAGTATCACTGACCCCTTCTAGGAGAGGATGAGAATCCGAAAGTTCATATCTGTGGATGGAGAACAATTGATAGTAAGTGCAAACAAATTTAGAAGAACTGTATGAAATAATAGGCTACCCTCCCATATTGGGTTATCTATCAGAAGTTATTGCACATCCTTTATTTTATGATGTAGATATCAGGAGCATCCACTTACACTTGATGTTCAGTTCTGAGCCGGCTTATATGCTTAAGTTTAGGCACGGGAATCGATGCAGCTTCTGGAGTTAAAGCGACCAAGGCTTTTGACATTTCTACCTGTTGAAGCTCCATATTGTTTTCCATAAATTTCTTCACATTTTGAGTGAACTCTGTCATATTCAATGTAATTGTAGGAATTTCATTAGGATCTTCAAAGTAAGCATCTTCAATGTCAACTTCGGGAGCTTTTTGCTCTGGCTCAGGCGAGGCAGGCTCTTCTACAATGGGCTCTGGTGTTGCTGGCACTTCAATAATAGGTGCGGTGTTGATCAATTTGGAATGCTCTAATGGTGTTTGATCAGCCTGAGGTAAGGGCAGCGGCAGCTGGCTGAAGTTCTGGAATGGATTCTGGCCAGCTGCTTTGTTTTCTGTTGCACTCACAATGCTTTTCTCTTCTGGTGCTGGAAGGGCAAGCCTTGCGCTGAATGAGGAATGTGTCAAATACCATATGTGAAACACAATGCGTTCAATCTTTAGACTAGTAAATTGCTAATCTAGTTGTAAGGCATTATGAATGTGCTGACCATAAGGGTATTGGATTGAGTTTGGCAGTTGAGATGTAGCAGTTCTATCTTATACCAGAAGAAATCAGTGAATATTAAAGTTTCTATTGAAGTTGCTTCATCACTGAGTGACTGACCAATTTGTCAAATGGTTCATTTTTGAGTTTAAGTGCTGGTGGATTAGCTTAAATGCAAATTTGTGTTGCCTAAGTAGATTCGTCAAATCTTGTTTGAGTGGCCACAATTCTGGAACTATGATTCTTTGGTTTAGGTGTAGAAAAGCTTGAGAAGAACTAATAAAGATGGACATACATGAGATAAATAAATTCTTGCCAGAAAGTATATAGACTAATTGGCAAACCTTGCAAAAGCACTTGCGAAGTGTCTACATTCTCCTCTCAATGGACATGCATTGCAGTTGGGTTTGCTTTTTGTACAGAAGACCTAACAAAGTAGCAAATGAACTTGATTTAAACTGTGATTGCACATATACACCAGTTTTAGGGGAGAGTAACTAATGGTATTGGCTTACCTTTCCAAAAGTGATCATATGGTAATGCAACTCATATCTGTAATCAAGTAGGGTTTGAATCAGTAAATGCATCACTTGATTAGAAGAAAGTAATTTTCTATTTTAAGTATTATGCATGTATACAATTTATTATTCCCTTTGCACAAATCAACTACCTGAATCTACTAGTCTGTCACACAAATCTCTGCACTTTCTTACAATCAAAATCTTTTCTTCCACTATAAAGTATACTGTTATAATTGGATCACTTACATTTAATAACAAATTGGTGCTTGTTGCCCAGGCCCGGGAAAACTTGGTTTTCGAGAAAAGAATGTTACTTACAATGTTCTCTGATCGAGCTTGCAGAGACGTGGCCAGAGGTACTTTTGAATTGACTCCAGCACTGGGTACCTGTAGAAACAGCAGAGTTAGACTATGTAGGCAATTTTAGAAAATTTACGCAGACAAGATACTCACAGTTCCAGAAGATGCAACTGTAGCGACTCTGGCAATGGCTGCAGGGGCACCCATCCCAGTCTAACGGCTATACGTCCAACGTTTGTGTCGACCTTGTTAAAGACACGAAGGCATTAGTGGGAACACATGGCTATTTTTCATATTAATTACCTCTTCAAACATTGGTTCAGAAATCTTACAGGGAAAGCAAGGTGGTGAAGTGTTAAAAGTCGCACACACTCTACGCTCTTCAGGCCCAAGCCCCTGATGCTTAATAGATACTCTCTGAGACCATGCATGTGTATTTGTTTAGTCGGTAAATAATAGTTTGATAAACATTGAGAAATTATTTGCTCAATTGCAAGCTTACTTTGCTTTGTCTGGTGGAACGTCTCTCAGCCATTCAAGATCAATACTTCCATGTTCTCTAAAAATCCGATTAAGGAAATCCTGCCATTGTTCATTTCTTTTCATTGAGCAATTTCTTAGGGTTTCGGGAATTACTGTACTAGATGAATGAAGGTGTTCAGAGATCCATTAATTAGGTTATTCATTGCAATTTTCATGTGCGTACCTTGATTCTCTCTGCTAGCATATTGTTCATTCCCCGTTCTCTGATGGTATGGGCTATCTCATTGACATCTGCACACCTCACTGCTTCCCAGTCCAGTGAATCCAATGTGTTTGCTGTTCTTTCTCTTTTCTTACCATTATTCTGAGCCTGTAACCTTAAACTGTCCCAGTCAACATTCTGTTTCTCTTTTCCATGGCGTTCCTTTTTTGCTTTAGGATTGTCATTTGCTCTGCCTAATGTGCTATCAGCATGACGTTTTTCATTGTTTGAGTTCGACTTCAAAGCTATGTGCTCAGACTTGCATGAATCGACAACTACACTGACCTCCTCTCTGACATCTACAATGGCTTCTGAAAATGTTGGTGCTTCTGCTACTCGCTGCATATTGTAGTTGCTCTCTTCAATTTGAATTTGCAGCTCAAAGTTGGCTACTGAATCATCAATGGTTGCTATATCCACCTTGTTTTCATGGTGATTGCGTGAGATTTTAGCCTCACTCCTCATCTCTTCATACAGTGCTTGATTTGTAGATTCTGCTGATAATTTACTTTGTCCAGGTGCACTGAGTTTTCTTGAGAGATCTGGAAATTTTGCAGCTTCTTCCAAGTCGTCTTTGCACTCGGTTTCTTGTTCTCCTACATTAGGCATCAGACATGAGTCCAAATAGCTACGAGGGCAGACATTTTCTAGTGAGCCTTTATGATTCTCCTCATCCTTCTGGAAGTGTGAACAACATGCCACATGTAGTTGGCCATGTACATCTGTTTCTGGTAAGATGTTTTCACTTTTCTGATCCTGGACTCCATGTGATTTCGAAGTTCCTGCCATCTGTAGTAACTTCAAAAACGATGTGGAGCCAGAAAAGTTGCTTGATTCAGTTCCTTCCGAAGTTTTGACAACCGGAAAGTTCACAGAATTTTGAGAAGAAAGTACAGAATTCTGAGAAGAGAGCAAATCGTCTGGTCCTATTTGATCCTCTGGAAAACTTGTTGCTGCATTAGCTGTAGCTGATCCATACATTGCTGATTCATGATGCACACATGAACTTTCTCTAGAAGAACCAGGTTGCTGCGATGTGGAATTTTCAGTTGGACTAGTGCAGTTACTGCTATTTTCACTTGATTCAATGCTGTTAACTACTGTTTTTTCATCGTTTGACTCTGCACCGGAGATTCTCAAGAAATCCTGACCAAGAGTTGGTTGACTTGATTGATCATCATGCCATCCAATTGTATCATCAGGCTCCAGGCCACTCACTTCAGGTTCTTCAATTATGATCCCTGTTCTCTTTCCATGCTTTTCAGTACCAGCTTTTGACTTAAGAGGGAACTGAGCAGCAAGCGACATGAATGCCGAGCTAAAAAGCAGATAAAATGCTTTATTGGAACTCAATGTTTTAAAATGTCTTATGGATGTACCAGAAAAGGGAGAAATTAAAAAAGAAACTGTGGTGTGAAGTTCAGCTTACCTAGAAAGGTGGTCCGAGACATTCTGCGTCAGGAAAACTCCAACTACAGAGTCTACAACAGATCCCTTCCAAGGAGAGAATCGCCTGTCTCCTGGCTCACCGAAAAATAGGAAATGGTCAATGATACAAACAATGACAATGTTACACGCACATCTTGCTTGTTACTGGTATGGCCCTTTGTGAAATAAAGTTTTCTAGAGAACAAAGGAAAAACAACAAAGTAACATATCTCGTTTAAGGTTGATGGATTGGTGTGCAATCCTAGTGTTAAGCTGATCATGACTTCTATTGGTATGACAAAGGGGTTTTTCATCAAAATTAGATCTATTATCTTAATAGTTTGCTGATATTATATGATTAATGTGTAACGATCTAATACTTTTGCAGATGAAGATATAGGGACAGGCTTGCTTCTTCCATCATAATCCCCTTTCTCTTTACGGGACTGTGCATGTGTATAGATATGCGTCAGGCTGGATTTTAGGTTTCTTTCTTGACCTTGCAGGTGCATCTATGTTTGTCAGGTTGGAATCTTTGGATTAACTTATTGCTAGTGCATCTTCATAATACAAGTTGGTTTCTAGTGATAGTTGTGTTACTTCCTATCCATCTGCCCATCCTATTTAGACTAGCAATTTTTTTTCTTGTTGACTACTTTTCTAGTCAAAGGAATCTAGCTGGGGGGTATGTTTATTTGATAGCCACTATAAAGATGTGAAAGCTATTTACACTTACCTTGAACAAGACGCATCCGTGCGACGAATGAGTCTACTCGTCCATGAAACACTCCACGTTCTTCTTCCCACCATTTTGCCTTATCTTCATCTGTACCATCAATGCCTTCACTATTTATATCTTGCAGCAGAAGCTTCCATACCCTAGTGGTCTCATCATCAAGGTCAACCTTGGGCCGCGGTTTTCGTCTTCTAACGAATGATCCTGCAAAAGGGACAATACTTCCATCTCTTCGATAAATAACAAGGGCATTTTCTGCTTGAAACTTATTCTGGTAGGTGATTTCCCCATATTGATATTGGTCTTGGATGCTTTCTCTATTTAAATCAAGATGCTGTAAGCGTTCGGCAATTTCTTCAACTGGGGATCTCCATGTTATAGCTGGTGGGAAACCTGCATTCAATTTCGAGCAATTAAAGTCCAGATCTTATTTGATAAGGTTATCCAAAAGTTAAGAATATAGCTCCAACTACCCCTTGCATTTGTTGTGAATTGTTGTTGAGCATACATATAGGATGCTGTGGAACTGACTAGGATGCTTCTCTTTGACCGCTTTTTTGTTTTCATTATTGCACGGGTGTCAGCAACTAGGGCTTCCATGCATGTATTAGGCTGATCTGAATATCTTTCTCCAAATTCAGATATCGATGCTTCTTTGGCAGGAGGAGTAGGAAAGTGTTTACAAATTTCAAGCAGTGATGCTAAGTCACGTACTTTACTTATGCCTTTTGATCTTTTTCTTCTTAACCCCTCTGCTTCTATAAATGCTGGTACAAGTTCGGGATTCTGCATTCTATTATTAGCTTTGTCATTTGCAGACGTACTGGCTTGGGAAAGACCAATGTTGCACTGAGACAAAGACAGATAGTTAGTTTCACATGTAAAAGGCTTAGCACAAGATGTTGCTGTGGGATGGCCCTTTTCTGTTCTCTTTTTCTTGTAAATTGTAGGAAAATGCATCCCTTGTGTACTGTGAGCATAAGGTTCATTTGCTGGGAGGATTGCTTGATATGCCTGCATGGAGTTGAAGTAGGCTCCCTTGACATTTGTGCTGTAAAGTTCTGCTTCATTACTTCTAAAAGAATGTCGTCTTTTCAAGGCTCTTTCTGGTGTCTCCTGGATCAAGCATGCGCTGCTGCTGCAGTTGGAACCATTCGGACTCTTTGGTGTCATTTCTAAAATGCTTGCCTGTTTATCATGAGTTTCATCTGAGAAAATGATTTTACACTTTCCTCTGGAACATGCGATGTCATAAACTGTGCCCAATTCTGTCTTTTCTGTTGTGACTTCAATATCCCTTCCAAGATGTACACTAGAACGGGATTGATTCTCATGCAAGTCCTCCACAGTTGAGGAGGGCCAGTGTGAAGAGCTTTCATCACTTAATCTGCTTTCTGAGTCAAAATTCAATGATCTCCTGCAGGATCTTCTTGGACGAGAAATATTTGGTGGATCAATTGTTTCATCTTCAGCAGGATTTGGTGCGGGCTTGTTAACTTTATTTCTTCTGACATACCTCCTCTTTGCTCTTTGGATTTCTCTGGAACTAGGAAGTTGGCTCTGGGGACTAGTCATACAGTCTACCTTGTCTGAGGGTGTGCCTGGAAGTTCCTCAACCTTGTTCCTTCGGACATATTTCCTCTTTTCTCCTGTTGTTTCCTTTGAACTATGCTGCTGGTTTTTTTTTGGTTTAGGAGTCCTTTTAGGCTGGCCTTCAATTACCACTTTAGGCCGGTGCTTCTTCCTTCTTTGTTTCTGCTGTGGTGTATTATTCTGTTCAGCATCCTGTTCGTCCGCCTTGTCAGGCTTGTGACTCCCCTGCAATTCTGATATGTTCAACACCAGCCCTGACTGCTCTTTCTTCTGTTGAGGATCATTTGCTTGTGCTCTCTTTAATGTATCTTCACATGACCGCATGTGGCTTAGTAGTGGTGTCTCGTTAATATCTAGATTTAACTCATCAGATGCTCGCCCCCCTTTGTTCTTGATCTGGTCTGGTGTTATTGGTTCAAACTGGATAGCATTGTTGCTTCTCAAGACTTCATCTGCTGGTGAATTCAGGTTATAAGGGAATCTCGAGCAAATAGAGCTTTCATCTGCATGATAGGCACCTCTTTCATATTAGTTTATTGAGGAAATCTCAGAATTGAAACAACAGCTTTTAAAGATTCTTGTTGAGTATGCTAAGCCATGAAAATATCTTTTGATGTTTGGCTGAATTAGTGTTCAACACAGTAGAACATAACACAACAATGTCGAAGCGGGTACCACATGTCTCAAATACTTAACTGTTAAGAATTTCAGGACAAATGAGAAAGACATCCCTTATTGAGTAGCACACAATCAGAGAAAACACGTCACTGTTTGTTTCATCTCTGATTTTAGTGAAGGTTCCTGATTCTGTAGTCTGTTTTGGAACATTATCAGGCATTCACTAGGATGTATAACTAAATGCTAGATAGCTTGTCCATGAGCAACCAAATTGCTCATAAAAAAATTGTAAGTTATAGATGTCAGCTTGATTTACCTAAAACTAAAACTGATCAATGATCTTATTCTATTTCATTCTCTATTCTTTTGCAGGTCTTAGTTATCCATGAAGATGCTGCCACTGTGTCACATTCAAGACACTTATGAATATGTCATAACAACAAATCAATGAATACTTCAATTCTTTACCTGCATCCTGCGAACTGACAAGGGGATTGAAAGAACCGCTCATGGTAAAATCAGTTTCTGCATTTTCAGCGGCGGCTGTGGATCCAGCAGCATGTGCTAGTGCCAAGAGATGTCCGAAGGACACATTGCTCCATTTGTCTACATCATCAGTAGAGAAGTTATTATACATATTGTTATCTCCATATATTTTGGATTTTGTGCCTGGTGTTGCTTCCCAAGTGTCAAAATACTCCGTTGCTGTTGCTGAATTTGTTGAACCACGACATGCAGCCACGTGTCGACCTGCAGGTTCTTGCAAGAAACTCCTCAATTCTGGCTGGTTCACTTGGCTTAGACCTTGCCCTTGTGAAATTCTTTTCAACTCCAACCCATTTTCTTGAGCTAGCTGATTTTGTTGCCTATTCCCCCAGATTGGTGGCAAACTTGGTTTTGCTGGAGTTGTTGGAAACCATGAATTGGCAATCTGAAAATCTTCTGTTTGTGGAATTGAGCTTCTTTGCCTTCCCTCCATGCCGCAGCGACAGAGTTGGTAGAAATCCAAATTTTCTGCCTTTATTTTATTTTATTGGATAAAATGGTAGACAGTTTTCTTGCAGGGATAACCTCAAAGTAGTGTCATAGAAAAGAAAAAAAAGAGGATAAAAAAGGCAGGACTTTTACAAGGTGTAATAATAACTGCTTCAGTCGGGGAACTGTTTTATGAAATCATCCTGCAAAACAAAACCGTATAAGTCACAGAAATTAAAAATGAATTTGTAGGAAGAGAAACAGAATATCTGAAACTTTCCAAAAACATAATTTTTAAGACACCCTTAATTGAACCGAATAAATATTTTCAGTCAGATCTCAAAAAGACGAGCCTATATATCTACTTATCCTGCCATGATGGAGACAGTGAATGGAGATAAAAACAGAATGTAAATTCTGTAACTCACCAGAAATTTCATTTTCATTAATTTAAGATATAAATGAAAAGATTAGGTGTAATCAGTGAAAGATTGTAGCAATCTGACTGAAAAAACAAAATTTGCATAAAATCTTTGATCATTTTACCAAGAAATGCTGCTTATTTCTGCAACTTATCTAAAAATTAGAGAAAATTCACATTTAATTGGATAAGAAGAGTGGTTAAAATTTGGGAACTCAGTAAATTTTTACTGACCTGAGGAAATGGAATACCGCCGGAGATCTCACAGAGGCAGTGGACGGCAAAGAGGAACTGAAACTGAGTATTCCATAAAGGGGAGAGAGAAAGCAGGAAAGAAGCCAAAACAGAAATAACAGTGCTTTTATTCCGAGACTGAGATAAAGCTCTTTGAAAAACTGGTAACTTCTTTTCCCGGTAAACTATTAAAAAATCCATTATTCTATTCTCTGTATTATTTATATATAAACCAATATATATTGTGTGAAGAATTTTTTACTCACACGTGATATTTACATCAAATTATAGATACTATTTTACATAATTGAAATGTGTAAGACATGTAATTTGACTCGGTGATAAAAATGTACGTGAAAAGGTACGTAAATTGACATGAAAGAGGCATGCAATTCCACGCGTTCGTGTCGTGGAACTAATCATTGATGTTTGCATTAGCGTAGGTTGCTTGCATTACACTCTTTTAGAATGTGATTTTTTCCAGACTGTACGTAAATACAAAATACTTTATGTATTGGGGTACCTTTTTTCGATAAAAATATACATAAAAAGCACATAATTATATATTTCTTGTTTAAACAATAGGTGTAATTAACGCATGCAACATACGTACTTTTATTTAGGTAGAAACATTAGCCGGGGTATAAGTAATTCTGCAGTCAAACAGCTAACACGGCGTGTGAAGCGGCTAAAGAAGACTCGATTCACATAGGAACCTTTGACGCCGTTAGGGTTTCTGGTAAGTTAGAGAATTTTTGGTCCTTATAGTATTAAAAAACTTTCCTAGTTTGCATGAGTTCTCGTCGTTATAGCACCATTATGACGCCGTTAGTGGTCCCCTTTCAATAGTACAATGTAAACTTTTCTAATTAAATCGAGGTTAGGTTGGTAATTTCTATGCTGCATTCGGTGCTTGAGGTTTTATGGATATGATCAGAATGTAGTGGGGTTGTTGTGGAAGGGCAACCGATTCCTTTGGTCTTTATGATGTACAAGATTCGATGATAGTTTTGGCGGGTAATTTCGTGGGTCCTCCATTCAAAAATTAGTTGATTTAGTTCGTTAGTACGATTACTATTGTTGTTGTCGTTATTGCGCGTTGACGATTGCATCTATCTTTTTGTCAACTCTTTATTTTATTTTAAATAAATATTATATTGTTTAGACGATCGTGATAATAATATTTTATTTTTCTTCTGAAAATCTTTACTATTTTGTTTTATCTTTTATTTTGATGTTTAATTAAACACAAAATTTAAGTTATTAATTTAACACACATTATATATATTAGAGAGGAAAAAAAGTTAGGATAGTGCCTTAGAACATTTTTGGAGAGCATTTGGTTACTTTTTGTAAAAACTGTATCTTTAAGCTTATTATTTCTTGAGAATTTTTGCTTTTTCAGAAAATAACTCTATCTTAAAAATAATTTTATTTTGGTTTTGAAAATTTGAAAAAGAAACTCTTCTAATCCTAGGCGAAGCAGACTATAAAATCCTTTATGTCTCGATGCGTTACAGAGATATTTGTTTTTCTTTTTCTTTCTTTCAAATTTTTGTAACGACCCAATCGGTCGTTTTGAGCTCTAGCGTGTCGTTTGGCGGTTTGAGGCCTTGAGTAGCTTCACTTCATGTATTATGATTTATACGTGTGGTCAAAATTGAATTTCGGGAAGTTTGGAGTTGATTATGGTGAAAAATTCTCAATTTGTATGATGATTTTGGATTTGGGTGTATGTTCGGGTTGAGTATCGGGTCGTCTGGAAGCATTTCGACACTTATTATTGAAAAGTTGGCATTTTAAAAGTTGTAGAAATTTCTAAGTTTGACTTGAAGCGGTCTTTGATGTTATCGATGTTCGTTTGGGATTTCGAGCCTTGGAATAGGTTCGTGTTGTGATTTATGACCTGTACGTAAAGTTTGGCGTCATTTTGGGATGTTTAAGTATAATGCGGACGCATTTGGCAAAGTTGGAAAGTTTAAAGAAAGGTTTTGGTCGTCGATTCGTAAATTTTGATGTTGTTTGACGTGATTTGAGATTTCGACTAAGTTTGTATCATGTTTTAGGATGCATTAGTATGGCTGGACGGGGTCCCGGGGGTCTCGAGTGCGAATTAGATTGATATCGGATTGATAGTTTAACTTATGGAATTTCTGTTGAGTTCAGTTTGGAGCAACCGCACCTGCGAGAAATTGGCCGCAGGTGCGGCGCCGCAGAAGCGGTCCTGAGTTGAGATGGGTAGTTGCGCAAGTGCGAGGGAATTTGCGCACCTGCGAACTTGCAGAAGAGGAATAGATGATAGGGGAGGAATTTCCGCAAAAGCGAAGGGACGAACGCAGGTGCGGAGAGTTGTTTGCAGATGCGGAAGGAGGGAGGCCTTATGGGATCGGGTTGTTCGCCTCGGCAGAATCGTGCGTAATATTTGACAAAAAGCCATTGTATCCATGAGTTTTCCTGACTTGAGTTGTGATGACATATCTGGTGGGGACCATATTGTATATACTCCATTTGAGGAAGTAACCAATATTTGAGGACTTGTGTTTACTGTTCAGAGGAGCATTGTATCATGTAGCTATATTTGTTTTCACCGTTTTATTACCATGCTTCATACTTGTTTACTTTTTGCTGTACTTGAGATATTGGACCCCTAGTAAGTGTCGATGTCGACTCCTCGTCACTACTTTTTCGGGGTTAGGCTAGATACTTATTGGGTATGCATTGATTTACGTACTCATGCTACACTTCTGCACTTATTGTGCATGTATATATATTTTTTATGGTCTTTTGGGCGCAAATGCGCAGCTACCGCGGGGACTTTACAGTGAGTTGCATCCCATATTACGATCCATAATATATGGAGTCTCCATCATAATTAGTTGTATTATCTTGTCTATCTTGTATTCTAGACAGATGTTGTATTGTTGTTGTACCTTCTAGTAGATGTTCATGCACTTATGACATTGGGTTTTGGGGATCCCTGGTGGATGTTCACTATTGTAGTTCATGTTATTATTATCATTTCACTTTATGATTTATTTATATTATGAGATTTGTAAAGAATAGCACAAGTTTCTATGAGTGCCAGATTTTACTCTACTATTTAATGGGATTCATGATTTTAAAAATAGTAAAATAAATAATTAAGTCAGTAATTCACCGTTGGTTTGTCTAACCGCGATGTTGGATGCTATCACGATCTATAGTAAATTTTGGGTCGTGACAATTTTAGTTTTGTTTCTCCTTTGTATTATTGGCCTGCAATTTTGAGCATTTTTTTATTCTATTATATTTTATTTTTTTATTTATAGAAAACATACTATAAAAGATTTGGAACGATTTTTAAATATTTACGTGAGTTGACTTATAATGAACAACGTTGTGAGTCTTTTATATAAATATTTTATAAAAGAAGATTATGTAATGATGATATTATAATTATTGTTGTTGTTATCGTTATTGGCCGCTGAGATTTGAGAGCTGAAAGGTATAAAATTGCTATAACTTTGTCCAATTATGAATAGGAAACAGCAAAGGATAAGTGAATAGGCACATGTTTTTTTTAGCCAGGGATGGGCACATGTGACTTGTTAACAAACGATTATTTTAATTTTATCATATCTCCAACTTCATCTATAGAGTAGTTGACTCCTGAATTGTTGCCACTGAGGATCTTCCACGGTTGTATTAGAGAATAATTAGTTTCTACGAACGTGCGTTGCACGTTAGTAATTGTACGTAATTGTTCAGTCCATAATCTCGTATTCGACATTTGAGCGTATTAATAACTAAATTTATGAAAATATTATTTATATAAATGTAACAATTAATGTGGATGAAATTGCGACAATCATCACTTATTATAAAAAAGTATTATTATATTAACATAATACTTGGATTCAAAATGATTCGATATTTTGTGAACCTGCAAATATTATTAATTTAGTTAAGTTAGATATTTTTATGGACTTATAGTTTAGAAATAAGTACGTGATCCATATCTTACTTAATATTTCTTTAAAAATAATATTTTTTGCGTATATTTATAATGCTTGATTGCTCTATCATGACTAAATGCTTATGCCAGTTGTAAGGATGGTGTGCATGATATTACCCCTTGAAAAAAAAGTTTAACTTCAAAAATTTAAGTTTTAATTAGTGGTTACTTAAAGAAACGAAATGAATCCCAACAGAAAAAGATTTGGCTTTGAAACTTTTGTGAGCTTCTATTTTTGGTTACTTAAGTAAACGAATTGAGTCCCAACATGAAACTTTGGAGTTTCTGAAATTGCAATTATAGTGTTATTCAAAGAAGAAAAAAAACTATTGAATAGTAAATAGGTATATTTCGTCTTCATCTGAGTTACTATTATTTAAAAATTAATATATTTAATTGAAAATTGAATCCAACAATTTTGATCTCGAATAAATTACGTTGACTGGATACAAGGGGCTCTGATTGTTTGGTATATATCTAAATCAACGACATCAAAATATCAATTGCACAAAAATCATGATAAAAATTTGGTAAACAATAAAATCAAGTTTTAAGTATATGCATTTTGAATTGTGTGGAAGTCTTTTGGCACAAATCCTGCAAACCTACAATTCAGAAAAATAAAATTAATTGCATGTGATTACAATAGCAATAGTTCATTATTTAAAGGTCACGAATCTAACATGATCGCATTTAATATTTTTGAGTATATTTTTGTCTCTCAATACTTTGCTTCTAAGTATGATTGCTTTACCATCACAAGTTGCCTATAGTTGAAAAATTAAACTGAAGTCTAGTTAGAAAATAAATTAAAAATGCTAACATAAAAATACTTTGGATTGATACAATCGAAATATCTTAAATAAGTCTTTTTTGTCTTTGTCATTCTTTTCGCCATTTATATCACTTCTTCCTCAAACTTTAATAATACGAATAGCTCCTAGTGTCATACATATCTTCAACAATTATGCTCCTTTTAATGCCACTAATTATAATTTCTTATCATTTTGACCCAAAAGTGAATTACTTATCTTCACATAAGGTCACTTTTTGCTATAATACACCGACTTTTTTTTTTGTAACATCCAAAGAAAGAATCAGCTTAAATATTATTTTACTGAATGTAGCACAAAA